CGACTTCGATACCAGCACGGTGGTGAATTCCTGGTATTGGTTTACTCTTAGCTAGGCTTCCTGACGGAAGAGGACGGCCTCCTCAGCTTGGGAGACCCTGCCAGGGGATGAATCCACCCCCCTCCCCCACTCCCCCCTCGTCCATCGCAGTCCGTTGGGAAACTAGCCATATTTCCCATCCCGGTACTGACGTAACAAATCACTGGACCTACATTCGATTCCATTGCAAATCAGCCTTTCTTTTTCAAGGAAGATTACAGTTGTTACAGATGTGGTAATGATAACACTTCAGTGAGGCGTAATACTGGTCCACTCATCTTTTCTTTATTTCTTCACTCCTTGTCTTCAGAGTAATAATGGAGGCAGTCAAATCCTTCAGTGGAAAGGTGAAATCGCGTGCAAAAATCAAACACCTCAACTTCGCAAAACAAGAGGAAGGGCATGTGTAGCGCAGTGGTCGGAGGCGCCCTGCAATACACATGGGTTCGATCCCACGCCACCGGGTCACCAAGGCTGCCATCCCTCCGTGGTCGGCAAATTGGTACCAGATCTGTCTTGGAGGATAGCATCACTGGCTGGATATATCGGTATGCCACTGCGAGTATAGGCCAGGTATGCATTCACTAACCTCTAATGGTAGTTCATGAAGACGATTGCATAGCGCATCCCTTAGCGATTGATCAACGCCGAGAACTTAATCCTTGACTTGTTGCTAGAGTTTCCTCTATCAGGGAATATTAATAACATAATAAATAATAATAATATAAATAATTAATAAATAAAGAATATTTAACCATAATTTCACAACTAGGCATAATTGTAGTTGTATTTCATATAATACCCCGCCATGAAGAAAGTATAGGCACTAAATGAAAGTTAAAACATCATGATTTCTCTTGCAGTTTGATCTCAACTGGATTCAGTGCCGATTTGTGCGGCCAGATCATTCCTATTGAAGGGTGGTTGCTGATAGCACTCTTAGAGTAAAGGAACTAGCAGAGAGAAAGCCTAATCAAGGACCTCGGTGGTTGGTGCAGCGGATAACACGTGAACCCACATGGAAAGGGTGATCGCGGGTTCGAAGTATAAGAGGTCCTAGGTTACATCAACATGACAACGCCCGAATCTGGTTCTTCGACAGCTGACGGTAAAATTCTCGACAGTCCTATATATGACTTCTACAAAGCATTCATTTGATATTGAATCTGTTTACGGTCACGGTTTTGAAAAACATGGCAATGATATCAGAATTTCAATGATGCTGAGATATTTGCAAAACTCCGGACCGCAGGTGTCTGCGGTGGGGAACGAACGCGCTATTGTCCTTTCCAGAGAGTAACGCGTTCCTGCGTCCGGAGTTTTGCAAATATTTCGCAATATACCCTGCCGTTAAAAAAAAGAGTAGGCAGTAAATAATAAGTTAAAATTGAGATCAGAATTCTTCAAGTTTCCAATGTAAAAGAGACGAACTTTCCTTTAACCCCGGTATGGCTAATCAACATGTATTCCTTCTTCGACAAGCTTGTTTAACTCGTTTAATCCTAATCTTTTCACATGCCACAGGTCACCAAATGTGAACTGCTGGCTAACGGGAAACGAACCACACCGTGCATCCAGTATGAAGGCTTTTTCTTCCTATCTTCTTGCCAGTGAGTACACAAGTACAGCTGCGAGTACGATGAAGAAGTCTATAGGTTTTCAAGCTCTAGCCGAATCCACCTACGAACCAAATCAATTCCATGGTTGTAGAAAGCGAACTGAGTTTAAGTGCAGTGAGTAACTCGACACTGACCTATCTAAGCACCTAAGTGGATGAATGAATGAAGAAATGAAAAGTACAGCTCGAATCTAAAAATTTATTCCAAACAAAAATAGCAACTGAAAACTATTGACATAACAATCTGTGCAGTACTGTAAAGCCACTTGCCTAAGCTCGATTCAATGTGAATAACAACAATGAATAACAAATAACACAGAAAATGTATGGCGAGTGACAGAACGAAACATGCGGGACCGACGAGATTCGAAGTAACAAATGAGTGAATAAACACAAATGCATTTCACTTAGTACATAGAGAATAAATAGGTTGGGAAATGCCACCGATGAGCTTCTCTTAGAAACACGAAGTACACGTCCGTTTCATGCAGAGAATGGCAGACAGAATGTTCAGGAACACTGAATTAATGAAATAAACAACGCAAAACAATCACAAAACAGTTGAGATCAATTAGCGAAGCGATAGCAAAAAAAATTTTGGAAATTTCTCTAGACAAGAGAATGATTTACAGATCTTAAGTACTGGTTGTGCGCGCGTGTAGCACAGTGGTCGGAGGCGCCCTGCAATACACATGGGATAGATCCCGCGCCCTAGTCTTACCAAGCTCTCGATCCTTTAGGGGTGGACAAATTGGCAATAGACTTGTCTGGGAGGATAGCAACACTAGCTCGATAGATCGGTAGGCCACCGAGAGTTATTGTAAGGGCCAGATATTTATTTAATCACCTCCGACGATGCTTAATGAAGTCGAATGCATTTCGCATCCCTCAGATTGATCCCTCAGATCGCATTGATCAACGCCGAGAGCTTTATCCTTTTATTGTATCTTGTACTGATTATATACCAACATTACTGAGCAACCTATTGCTTTGTAAATCCTTCATCGACCTAAAGAAAGCTTTCGACTCAGTTGGAAAGCGATCATGACAGGTCCGTAAAATTAAGACTTATTTCGCTTCTACACTCAAAACTCATTCATGAGGAATACCACAACTTCAAAACAATAATCCAACATTCTACAATGGTACTCTCATTTACGTTCGATGCAACCACATCATAGCTTTCTTCGATGTCATCCTTCTTACAATATAAGGAAGTAGCCTGGAAGAATTAAGTTTATCGGATTTCCACAGCGGTTATGGAAAAGTCTGACTTCTGTTAAACCCCCAGAAATCGATGTTCATGAGAAACTGGTTCGTACCTATGTTCAACCACGCTCGAGGGCATGAACATCTCCGAATCTTTCTGGGTAGAAAAGTGAGTATAATGAACGACACATTTCCAGAGCTGCGCAGAAGGAAACAGGTGGCCTTGAGAGCTTGTGAAAATACCGAGGATGTAGCGAATAGGGCAATGGTCAACCTGCTTAGAGCCCACTCTGCTATTTTTCTTCAAGTACTTAAAGAAGAAAGGTATCCAGGAATCTGGACGCTATATATGCAACGTGGTAGGCACTTAGCAGTCAGGCGCTCCGAAATGTCGACTATCAAAGACCATAGAAGCTAAAGTATCAAAGTGACATATAGGCAAACACGTTGTCAACGGGAATGGGCAACCACAGAATGCTGGTAAGCGATTACCTTCCAAAGGATGTTAAGCACAGACTCAGAACACCACGAAAATCCAAAGAAAAATATTATTCTCTTCGTTTCAGTCCATGAATTAAGACCTATTGAGCAACTCTGGAATTCCATAAGGACAAATGGATATTGTTGATGCCTGCCTGAGTCGATCGACTACCGACCCGACTTTAGAAATCAACATGTCCTTATAGTGGTGATAATATTATAATTATAAATATAATTATAATATTATAATTATAATTATAATAATATTATAACTATAATTATAATTATTTATTATATTATTTATATAATTATAATAATACTATAATTATATTATAATATTATTATATATTATAATTATAATAATATTATAATTATAATCTTAACTCTTTTATTTACTGCCTTTTTCTTCTTAATGGCAGGTTATGTTTCGAATTATAATTCGTATGAAATGCTGAGATATTTGCAAAACTCCGGACCACAGGTGTATGCAGTGGAGAACGAACTCCCGAACAGATCAATCCCGTTGACGGGTGATTGCTGACGGCAAAAAGATCGATAGAACTAGCTGAGATACATGCAAAGCGAAGGACCTGGATGGTGTAGTGGTGAAGTGCGCTGCTCCCCGCTAAGGACAACAGCGCTTGTTCGTTTTCCACTGCATACACCTGTGGTCCGTAGTTTTGCAAATATCTCAGCATTTCATACGAATTATAATTATAATTATAATTAATTATATAATTAATTAATTAATTATATAATTATAATTATAATATTATATTATATTAATATATAATTATAATTATAATATTACTAATAATTATAATTATTATTATTATAATTATAATATAAATATCACCTCGTGTTTGCTGAACAGAAGTAGAAAGATATACTCTAAAGAATGTTCATAAACTGTAGCAACATGGAAGCAATTCAGACGTGTGCATGGGAACTCAACATTTTCATCTCATCGTTTCATTTCCTATTTGGATGAAACGTTAAATCACAATTCCAGTCAAAATTTTATGCACACCCCAAAAATTTTCACAAAAGTCCACATGATATTTACTTACTTAGATATCTGGATGACTCATTTTCACTGGATCTGTGAGCTCTAGCATAAATTCCACTTTTTCCGAGTTTTGCTGTTTTAGCTATTGTGGTCTGTGGAGTCCCGAGATCAAACTAGCCAAAGTTTGCCCCAAGTCGTCACCACCACAAGCAGTCGCCGTCCTTGTGCATCAGAGCGAGATTCGCCACCATGCGACTAGTTTGATACCAGGGCGGTGCTCGTTCCTGGTATTTGTTTACTCTTAGATGGGCTTCCTAATGGAAACCACCGGACTCCTTCTCAGCTTAGGGTGGCCCTGCTGGGAGATGGACACCCCGCTGTATATCGCAGCCCGACACTCAAAAACGCCTGAGGTCGTAAACTCTCTGGAGGCCATGTGATGCTTACAATAAAGAAGAGGAAAAAACATCGATCCAATACGGTATGTATTAAGAACATTAAAGACATGAAAGAGATAACAAGACTTCATAGTGAAATTGAAACAATGAAGATCACCTAAACAGAAAAGCTTGGAACTTGTTGAACTAATGAAGACAACGTTGTAGAATCTCTTTATCTTTCTTTCCTTACCATTTTCTGATCATTTCAGTCCTTATAAGAACCGAAAATTTGAGTCAATTCATGTTTTAGTAACGAACCTTCTATAGTGGCGACGACGAACTGCACCGAATTCACAGCCACGCCTACTTTCAGTTGCCATAAACACTTTGCAAAATCGTATTCATTCATATGGGAGAAGATGTATGAGATCCTGAAAGAAAGCTCAATCTCGATTCTCTGAGTCTCATATCTCAATGCTTATGTGCAGCATCAACTCAAAACGCATTTGGACTTTCGTGGGACTCAGAAGAGTGGCCGACTGGAGGAAGTACATTAAAACCTTATGGGATTAACTAACCCCGTTTTGAAGTGCTACCACATCCCGTTCCGATTCGCTAAGGTGGTAGTTTTGGATTTAGCTAGCCCCGAAACGATGGTTGATAGTTTGCTGAGAGGTGAGTGTCGAACACGCAAGAGTGCACCATTAGAGCTTCAATGCACCATTCTTCTTACAGGAAATGGTTTTCAAGAGGTAAACGTTAATAATAAGAGCAAGATGGAGGATGTATTATCTTTATTAACCAGCAAGGAATTTACCTTGTGGTATCGTATTGGCCAAGCAAGCAGAATGCCTCGTCGCGTTCGATAGTGGGGTGATGGTAAGTGCCGACAAGAAACCAGTTCCTGAACGATGTCCTGGCTTTATTTACATCAACCTTTAGCCTAATGCAACCTTATATGGCCTTTTACGTAACAACACAACACAAGTGATGTTAAGCTGATGCGGAATAACATCCGTGTTATATACGTATATTCGCCGAAGCAATAATGCGGTTTCCGCAATTGAAAAGATTTTTTGGGATAATCCGACGTTAAGGTCACCATTCTATTACTTGTAGCATAGGTTGCTGATGATGAAGAAGAGGCGCGCGTGGTACTGTTGTCGAAGGTGCTCTACAATACAGTTGAGATCGATCCCCGCGCCCATGGCCCACCAAGCTTTCCATCCCTCCGGAGTGCGGCAAATTGGTACCAGACTTACCTGGAAGGATAGCAGAACTGGCTCGATACATCGATAAGCCACTGCAAGTCGTTGTAAAGACCAGATATGCATTAAATCACCTCCAAACGATGCTTAATGAAGTCGAATGCATGGCGCATCCCTCAGGGATTGATCAACGCGGAGAGCTTTATCCTCTTTTTTATAGGTTGCTACTAATCCGAAAATGCTAACTCCAGAAAAATGTGGGCTTTTGTGGATTTGATGCAACACCACTGCTAACACCTTTGTGTTAACAGCCGGCGCCTCAGTGACGCGAGAAAGAACATGATCAAAGCAGAAACTTTTTCCCAAAAAAACGTCAACGAAAGAGAGAATTTTCTAACAGTGGCGATATTTTCTAGTAGCTTCACAAACTAAATAAAAATATAACTCGTATATAATGCTGAAATATTTGCAAAACTCCGGACCGCAGGTGTATGCGATGGGGAACGAAAGCGCTATTGTCCTTTCTGGGGTGTAGCGCACTTCACCACGACACCATCCGGGTCCTTCATTTTGCCTGTCTCTCAGCTAGTTCTACTGACCTTTTGCCATCGGCAATCACCCGTCGACGGGATTGATCTGGGGATCCCAAATCGGCATTAAACCCAGTTAAGCTGAGGCTTAGTTATAATCACAATCTTAACCCTTTTATTTGCTGCTTTCTTCTTCTTTTTTTAATGGCAGGGTATGCTGCGAAATATAACTCGTATATAATGCTGAGATATTTGCAAAACTCCGGACCGCAGGTGTATGCGGTGGGGAACGAACGCGCTATTGTCCTTTCAGGGGAGTAGCGCACTTCACCACCACACCATCCGGGTCCTTCGTTTTGCCTGTCTCTCAGCTAGTTCCATTGATCTTTTGCCATCAGCAATCACCCAGCAAAATAGAAATATTTGGCTTTCAATTAAAGATTGCAGGAAAAATGAGGCAATGCTATCCAGTTTTATAGAATCATAACGAGTACTTTGGCGATACTAAAAGTTAGCGAGAACATAAATAAATAATAAAAACAAATTTAGTGATCTGAAAAGCTGATAAGTGAGCCACCGGGCACTGATTCCTCCGCTGACGAAGCACATCATTACCGACACCAACGACAGCACTAGATGAGCCATGTACAGATTCACCGTGCCTATTTTGGCAGCCGCACTTCCGACCTACAGAAAAGAATTTTGTTTAACGAAAAACTGTCCTGAAGCAATAACTGAAAATGAAAAATGAACTTCAATGAATTACCATATGTGGAATGCAGAATCTGTGCACCCATTAATAATCCAGTAACTCGAATGGCACCAATGAACTCCACTTTTCCCCGTAACGCATCAGAGCCGTACAACGAACATAAAACCACCTCACATCCAATGCGACGCCTACTTTTTCACAGTTCTTAACGAGAAGGTAACCGCCAGGAGTTCGGCGAGCAGCGCAGTGCTACAGGTTTACTCCTAGCTTCGCTTTCCGATGAAAATGTTGAACTTCTTCTTAATTTATAAGACTACGGTGGGGAAAGAGGATGAATCCACGCAGTACATTGACGATCTAGGACACTCAGCCATAACGAGGCGGTAAACTATTGCGGGATAAGTGGGACTAATAACGAAGACTTTGCCTTTTCGCTCTAAGGATAGATGAATGATTTTTCTAGAATAACCTTGTCGTGTTTAGGGTTCAAGTTCCAAGAGGTTTACACAAAAAATCCAAACTCTTTGAAGTTATAATTCAAGCGTAGAGGCCACAGACATCAGCGATACATACGACCGAAAACGTCACCATCACCACTTAATCGCATTGAGCGAATCCTACCCCTACTCATCCACTTCACAACACGAATTAAAAGCATTGACGAAAAATGACTCGTAGACTCCAGAAGATCAGGATTCCATTGCGGTAACACGAATAAAACCCGCGCCCTTCTTGCAAACAGATGTAGATTATAGTGATTCCTATTTAAATCCACAGTGTTCAATATGATGCGCGACGTTCGTTCATAGTTGGAAAGTGAAGTCATTCTCGACCTCACATGCATTTAAACGAACGCGCTATTTTTGAATGAGTTGATTAAAGATATACGCAAAATGTGAACAATGTATATCGCAGCAGGTTCGAAACGGAACAGAAAAAAATTCATAAAGCGAAAGAGCACTATATATATATATATATATATATATATATATATACATATATATAGTATATATATAGTATGGCATAGTATAGTATATATATATACATATAAATATATTGTATATGTATGTATGTATGTACATATATATGTACATATATATATGTACATATACATACATGTGTATATATATGTATATGTATATATATAGTACAACTGTGGCGTAAGGAATTCCTTCTTATTCGATGGCGTGCATTTCTCCGACGGTGAATTCTACAATTTTTTGTAATTTTATCAATCACCATGTGAACCAAAGGTATTCTACACTTAAAATTAACCTCCGGCAATATCACCGAGCGAGAAAAACCAATCTCACCAGCGGAAAACTGTCCAGTAGCTAAGCGAAAGCTAGTCCAGTCCAGAGTTTCCACTCTACACCACACCATTTTCACTTATACGTAAGGTGGTAAAACTAAGTCCACCACTCAACTCACCACCACTCACTTTGTCGACCCATAAACGAACGGTTTCAAGTGAGCACGAAAAAAAGCGCATCATATTCTCACCGGTGACTTGCTTGGGTGACCAAAACAGATTACTAAAATTCTAAACTTACCAAAGAATTCGCGACATAGATGACCGATGTCCATATAGCGGAATAGTAAGGACAGTACTCAGAAGTGTCACGATAGCACCAAACACCTCCTGCCAGAATCACAGCTAAATTTATAATGGATTGATTCAGTACTTCAAAGGAAAGATTCTGTGTCAGTGAAAACGCGCAGATTAAAGTAAGGCTTGAGGAAGAAAGCGTATAATGTTTCTAAAAGTAAGAGTGCAATAAAACACTCGGCACTACGGTATGTGAATGTCTGCTCTCGCGAAAATCGGAGTTTTCCAGTGTACCGCAAAACCGGGCCTACTAAACGGTCTTGAAGACTTTTCAAGTTGCTGACAAACAGTCAATAGTGATAGGCACGACTGTACTTTGGTTTCCCATCCTGTGAGTTCGAGGAGTGCAACCCACACTATTTCCGACCATCAAAACAGCAAAACTACAGCACTTAGCGTTGTTTTGTTTCGTCTTGTAAGGTTCAGAACGATGACACGACTCGTTAACGAGTTACTATGAATTCCACTGGAAAGTTTATCGGGTTTAACGTAGAAAATAACAGAAAACGATTTGCTTTAGAAACTACGGTTTATGGTCTCACCTGCTAACATCAGTTCCACAAGGCATAATCGAAATATCCCGCGATTTTCCTTCCGTGGGAACCGATCAAACCACATCGGATTGTAGGATGGTTGCTCGTATCCAAAACTACTAGGAGGTGGATGCGGAGGTGGTGGTGGAGGAGCCGACACTGGAGGTCGGTCATGGCGGACTGGGACGCCACTCGCGTAGGGGCTATATGACGGCGGAACTGATCCATTCTGAAATGTGTCAAAATGGCTAGAAAGACTGATGACACTACTTACATGGAGAGGTTGGAACAGCGATTTCTTAAAATACAAGCTACTTAGTTGATCGGTAATAATGCAATGAAACATGTTAGTTTTTTATACTTCCAACCTATTTAATAAAGACTTTGTTCAAAGTCCTCGATATAAGCACCGCTTGCTCCACTTTGACCAATCACTTTAACAAACAGAAATTAATGTCACGACGCTGGATGTGGAAACACTTTTCAGTCCAATATCTTCAACTTCCGATGAGCCATGTAAGTAACCAAGGACCAAGCATTTTCATGGAGTAGATAAGTCACGCTTGGCCGGTGGAGTCCGTCGAACGGGTCATCATTCCGCGCTAATCAAGAACGTTTGAGGGCATATCGACGGCATAATGATAACAGTCAAATGTTTCCACAAATTCGGAGTATACGGATGTTCCTTGAATGGATTAGTAGTTAAATGACTGGATGAAGGTGTGCCTGCCCTGACATTTATTTTCCAACTCCTTTGCTTTAGAAACTGGTGCCGGCTGATGGTCTTAGAAAGAAACCTATAATGCATGCGGTTATAGCTCTAAGAGTTCCAAACTGATTCGGTGGATTCCTGTCAGCATAATAAGTTCGAAGACGCGCTATAAACTAATAGAAGCTGGTACAAGGTGAAATTTCCACATTTATCTCTACTGCTTCGCTTACCCACAACATAGTAGAGAACGCAACAGTACTGTCCGTACACCACCCAAATAAATCGATGGATGAAGCAGAAAGAAACAATCGGGTATGGGCAGCTCTAGACCAAGATCATTGTTAAGGGCTATAAACAAAGCGTAAAGATTTTTTTTCGGGAAATCCTGTCAACAAATATTACTCATCTAATAATAACGGCTACAATCTCTCCCATCAGATTTCACACTGGCAGCGAAGCAAATCTTGTAGAACGCATTCACTACAGTGCGCACTGACTTCGATCCATCTCCATTTCTGTGGCTGCTTAAGCTCACCGTTGCCATCTGCTATGCGTAGTCATACAGAAGCTGCGTTCCGCACCTAGCGTTTAACAAAAAACCGCTCTTCAGACTAGCTTGTTTGCGAAAACGCAGCCAGTGCTGCTTCCGAAGAGTGACAGAGCACCATAGAAGGGGTGCTGAAGTATTTCTACGGCACAAATGCAAATACATAACTTCCAGGCGATCAGATTCCTTCTCTTATCAATTGACTATCATGGAGACAGTTGTTAGTGTGTATATTAACTGATCTCTTTTTTAGGGGTAGACGGCGGACAATACGCATTGAATTCGTTCCGCGCAGCAGATAACGGAAATCACGTTATGTCCTAATGTATTGGTTAATTTTTTCCACCAAATGGGAAAATTTCCGCAATTTAGATCGTGTCACAAAAGCCCCAGACCTTTTCACCATACTGCCCAACAGACCACGTTAATGTGTGATAGAAATTACGGCAAAGAGAATTGTTTAAAAGAAAACAAAGATGAAAAAAGGAAGCAGTCGATGAAAACACATAAATCAACAAATGAATGAGGAATTTAAAACCTGATTGATGGTGATCTCCATGCTGGGTGCAGTTGGAGCTGGTGAATAGGCGTAACGAGGACTCGCCTCGTTCTTGTAGTTCTTCGACATTGCCATTGCCACCAGTGCAGTCTGGCAACTAGAACCAAGGCCTTCTGATGACAGCCACGAAGGTAATCAAGGGCTTGGACTGGGTTCTGTAACTCGCAATTGTCTACACTGTCATTCAGAAGACAAAGCGTACCACCAATGTTCATTAGTCACTTGCATCGGGACGGAATTTGGAAGACATCCATTTTTGTCAAGGTTACCGCTGTAACTGAATAAAAAATAACAGAAAGTGCAAGACATCGATGCTACAATAGAGGAAGCAAAGGAAGACTCATATCACCACTATCTATCTTTTCTTAACTCCATACCTTCAGCAGCTGAAATAAATAGAAAACAAGACAAAAATACCTTATTTTTAGAGCCAAAAATATTAGAATGTCTGTCTGTCCATGAAAAGTCTGCTAACTCTTCTTTACAAGAAAACAAAGGAGCAAAGCAAAATAAAAGAACGAGACTCCTCGGAAACGTTTGCGACTTTCTCCTGAAACATTTTAAGTGAAAATGTCAGGAAGTTAACGAAATTAGTATCGAAGTCAGGCACAGTTTGTCTTTGCAATCGTTCAGAGACATGATCGAAAACCCAAGCAGAATCGCGTTTGATTAGCGTTAGCGGTTAAATTAATCATCGACTAACTCGAGCAAGGCGGCAGTAATATGTACACTTATCTCCGTCATGAGTCAGACCTGATTTCTCCGACCGACATGAAGGGCTCCCACACAATGGTATTTAAATCCAATGCTCTTGACGAAACGCTAACCATGGGTAGCCCGACGGTAGTGCCATCTAGTTGGCTTACTCGGAACTGGACCCCTTGATACCCACTCTTTCCCAACCTAAACAGCCAAGCTGGGATCATGATCGCACAGTTGGAAATTCATGAACAACCGCCCGCCATGATAAAACGGTAAATCATTGGAGGAAGTTAAAGAGACAGTAAGCTACTAAAAATCAGAACGCTTCCAAAACACTTACGATGACATAATCGAGATAAAACCAACAGAACCCAATGAAGATCCTAATGAAAACTTTACACCAAGACATTATGGAAGAGAACGAAGAGTCAACATGAGACGGCGACCAATGCTCTAAGTCTTTCACCGCGAAGAACGTCCTTAGCTCAGTAGTTCAACACGAAAGATCAAGTATTTTTGGAAATGTTTTCTGGATCAGCACAGATCAATTACCGTAACAATAAGGGGCATAGGAGGATTTTATTCGTTTCCGTTTCCCTATCATTTCAATGTTGACAGAAGGAAATCTACGACCAGATAAAACCCTCTATAAGTGAGGAGTCCTATTTATCACCCTCGGTTTCTAGAAAAAAATGCACAACGTTCGTAGTACGGAAGAAGAATGTCTTTAGGATTCATGAAATTCATTCAGCACCACACGGTTATAGGCAGAACGGCAAAACGGGTTGTAGCCGTGGTGTCATGGGGGTGGCCCCAAGGCGCACTTGTACGGTGACAAAAAGAAGGAGAGTGTTTAGAACATAGTCTATGCTAACGTCATGTGACCATTTCGGAACAGTACCAGTTTAAAGCTCATAGTGTTCATAGCAAGGCCATTCACTGCGATTCAACGTGCCTAAAGATCAAGTATAGAGAATTATTAGGAAAAAAAACTGCTGAATGAGAAAGTAAACGAAGACGGAGACGTTGAGGTGAACCATCAGCGGGCAGTAAGCTTTTCGATGCAGAGTGATGGACGACTGTATGTCGCCAACTTCCTGTCTGCCAAAACGGCATTGCATCCCGAACGATTCCACTGGCTTCGAAAAAAGGGAATCGATTCGAAAAATCGGAATGTAATCGGAACAAAACTGAGTTTCGAAAGAGCTGCACCCAAAAAGAGTTGTTATTAGCAAGAGCGTATTCCCTTCTAAAAATGGTTGACCTCTGTTCACATCAATGCAAGAGTTATATGAGGATACCATAATTAGGTTAAAGCAGTAGACAAAAAGAATTAAAACCATCTACAACCGTGCTCTACGCCTTCTCCTACTTAGAAGACTAAACTGTTCCTCATCCGCGTAACTCCACAGAAACCAGCAAAGGATTATCAGGTTAACATCTACTGTTCAACGTACTAGAAGTCATTCGAGGGTGAACTTTCAGCTATATCGATTCAAAAGAATTAGGTGGCAGCATAGTGAATGTAAGGTATATTAACAGATGAAGGATAAAGTCTTCGCGTTAATCCATTCCCTAGGGATGCGTCATGCCTTCAACTCCATTGAGAAACGTAAAGTTGATCGAAAGAATATTTGGTGTGTGCTATAACATATTCATGTATATGAAGTCAATGTTTTATCCTCCAAAACAAGTGTGGTATGAATGTGCGAACTCAGGAGGAATAGGAGGTTTGTTAGGGCCTGATGTGGGATTGAACCAAGGATGGCGGCTGGCGTCTCTAACCACTGCGCTACATGAGCCCTGAATAGCATAATATGTCCACGAAACCCGATTTTAAATCGTAAAGATAGGGAATTCAAAAGGCGTCACGGATGGGACTTACAGAGAGCACTTAATATCTTTACTGCTTGTCTCCGCGTTCGGGATTCACCATGACTTTTATTTGACCGATATTTTCCTGATTGAAAAAATTTTGTTTTTGCAGTATCTACAATGTCAGGCCACGACATTCCCAGACTACCATGGCAAGCGACTGCTGCACCTGTTTGATCGGACGGAGATTTCATACCTCACGACTAAATTCCTTCCACGGCGGCTGCGGTTGCTGGCACGGGTTTATTCTCATCTGGACTTCACGGCTGGCAAATGCCGAACACCCTCTTAGCTCAGACAGATATTGGATATGAACATAGCTGTTTGAATATTGAAGAACATGCTGCCAGACTCGAAACAGCGGGTGGGTGAAAAATAGGGTTCAGTTTTCCAATAGTATACTAATATCTTCAACTCTCTCAAGTGCTATGAAGTATTTCAAAAAGTAAGAAGGATTAAACCGGCTTGTAGTAATCACTGTCAATAACCTCTATTATGCTTTTCCATGAGAAGTGAAAAGAAAGAACGTTAGGAAAGAACAGCTTCTTGAGATAAATCAATGACTAATGTTGTGCACGTGGGATCAGGGGCAACAAGTCGGTTCAGAGCGGGGCAGGAATGACGCACGTGCAGGCATGGATGCAGTGAAAAACGCCACTGCTTAGATATTGCTGTGGAGCCGAAAGTCTCCGGCTAATGAGAACAGCATGCGAAAAAATAGATTCGAAACCTGCACAGTATTCAAGTCCTGGGATGCTCGTTTGTGGACTTGTATTCTCCTCTTCTGCAGATAACGGATAGAAGTTCATCTGGATTTCTAATAATTATTAAAACTGCTCTAGATACGCATTTCATCCCAGATTGCATGCTCTTTTGTCTAAGTTCTTCTCTGTCCAGACTGTGGATCAAAAGGTAAGCAAAGAGGGTTGAAGACAAGCAGTGCCATAAAAT